GATTCTGTACAATTATTTTTCTCATAGGCTCTGTTTTGTGGCCAGTGTGAAGGTCGATTCATTTTTTTGTAAATTACCGTGACGGTAGATGTTTGCAGCAAATCTCACTGCGGTGTATTAAGTTGATTTTCGTTGTGACACGTAGCAGCGTGCAAGAGAACTCAAGCACGGTCGAATTATCGTCATAAAAAAAATCAGGGAATGGTGGGGGTTGGAACCCATGTCATGTAAGTCCTAAAACTCACAGGCCAGTGCGTTAACCACTGGGCCACTTGGCTCTAGTAAGATTCATCTAACTATATATATTTCTATACACCACAGGGAGGTTAGCATGGGCTAACAGCCACACCAGTGTGGCTGTGGCGTACTCTAGCTCAAGTCTCTTCAAAGTTGCCGAAGTTACAATTATCGTCATGTGAAAGTGTTGGTTGAGGTGAGCTTGTCATCAGACCCCACTGGTGGTTAACGCACTGGTCTGTGAAATGCCAGAAGTACCTCCAGAAAACGTAACAGTGACTGTAGGATCTGTTGACCTAGCACATGATAATAGGACTTGCTTGGAAGAATGCTGTGCAACGCAGTGACCTCCTCGAGCATATAGTGACAAGTTATTTAAAACTCGGTGGTCAGACTGATGCATCTGAACAGAAAGATAAAAGAATGAATAATTCTACAGTGGCATAGAAATAATTAAAGATGTCGAGGCGTTTTGTGTGTAACAATTACCAATTATTACTGTTGGAGTCTTCAACTGCAAATTAGAGCCTCGCCATCTAACAAACACATGACTAACAAATCACTAAGAAAAGATAAGTCACGAGGGTTTTCACGGAACATCACATTACTGCATCCGAGAATATTAATTCATTTTTATTGGCAAGAACGTAGATGACAAGATGGAGAAGCCGCCTAAGAATGTAGTGAATGAACCGAGACTAACCAACCTATTGTGGGATTTACGTTAAAAAAGAAAAAACAGCATCACTCACTCAAAGTTCTGCAAAGAGTAAACACACAGTAAACACAAGAACATCCAAGCAATTCCGCGGTTAATATTTTCCATATTCATGTTCTGGCGAGTTAATTTCAACATGATTAGTTACCTGATGACATTAAAGATTAATTTACCCTGATTCTTGAGCACTACAATGAGAGATACATGTGAAGGTAGAATGCCAGAAGCCAAAACTAATGGAAATAAACTGCTAAAGCAGTGGAAGAGAGGGTTGCTAAAGCACTGGAAGAGAGGGTTGCTAAAGCACTGGAAGAGAGGGTTACTAAAGCACTGGAAGAGAGGGTTGCTAAAGCACTGGAAGAGAGGGTTGCTAAAGCAGTGGAAGAGAGGGTTGCTAAAGCACTGGAAGAGAGGGTTGCTAAAGCAGTGGAAGAGAGGGTTGCTAAAGCACTGGAAGAGAGGGTTGCTAAAGCACTGGAAGAGAGGGTTGCTAAAGCACTGGAAGAGAGGGTTGCTAAAGCACTGGAAGAGAGGGTGCTAAAGCAGTGGAAGAGGGGTTGCTAAAGAGTGGAAGAGAGGGTGCTAAAGCAGTGGTTGAGAGGAATACTAGAGTAGTGGAAGAGAGGACTGCTAAAGCAGTGGAAGAGAGGGTTGCTAAAGCAGTGGAAGAGAGGGTTGCTAAAGCAGTGGTAAGAGAGGGTTGCTAAAGCAGTGGAAGAGAGGGTTGCTAAAGCAGTGGAAGAGAGGGTTGCTAAAGCACTGGAAGAGAGGGTTGCTAAAGCACTGGAAGAGAGGGTTGCTAAAGCACTGGAAGAGAGGGTTGCTAAAGCACTGGAAGAGAGGGTTGCTAAAGCACTGGAAGAGAGGGTTGCTAAGCACTGGAAGAGAGGGTTGCTAAAGCAGTGGAAGAGAGGGTTGCTAAAGCACTGGAAGAGAGGGTTGCTAAAGCACTGGAAGAGAGGGTTGCTAAAGCACTGGAAGAGAGGACTGCTAAAGCAGTGGAAGAGAGGGTTGCTAAAGCACTGGAAGAGAGGGTTGCTAAAGCAGTGGAAGAGAGGGTTGCTAAAGCACTGGAAGAGAGGGTTGCTAAAGCACTGGAAGGAGGGTTGCTAAAGCAGTGGAAGAGAGGGTTGCTAAAGCACTGGAAGAGAGGGTTGCTAAAGCAGTGGAAAGAGAGGGTTGCTAAAGCACTGGAAGAGAGGGTTGCTAAAGCACTGGAAGAGAGGGTTGCTAAAGCACTGGAAGAGAGGGTTGCTAAAGCACTGAAGAGAGGGTTGCTAAAGCAGTGGAAGAGAGGGTTGCTAAAGCAGTGGAAGAGAGGGTTGCTAAAGCAGTGGTTGAGAGGAATACTAGAGTAGTGGAAGAGAGGACTGCTAAAGCAGTGGAAGAGAGGGTTGCTAAAGCAGTGGAAGAGAGGGTTGCTAAAGCAGTGGAAGAGAGGGTTGCTAAAGCAGTGGAAGAGAGGGTTGCTAAAGCAGTGGAAGAGAGGGTTGTAAAGCACTGGAAGAGAGGGTTGCTAAAGCACTGGAAGAGAGGGTTGCTAAAGCACTGGAAGAGAGGGTGCTAAAGCACTGGAAGAGAGGGTTGCTAAAGCACTGGAGAGAGGGTTGCTAAAGCACTGGAAGAGAGGGTTGCTAAAGCAGTGGAAGAGAGGGTTGCTAAAGCACTGGAAGAGAGGGTTGCTAAAGCACTGGAAGAGAGGGTTGCTAAAGCACTGGAAGAGAGGGTTGCTAAAGCAGTGGAAGAGAGGGTTGCTAAAGCAGTGGAAGAGAGGTTGCTAAAGCAGTGGAAGAGAGGGTTGCTAAAGCACTGGAAGAGAGGGTTGCTAAAGCACTGGAAAGAGAGGGTTGCTAAAGCAGTGGAAGAGAGGGTTGCTAAAGCACTGGAAGAGAGGGTTGCTAAAGCACTGGAAGAGAGGGTTGCTAAAGCAGTGGAAGAGAGGGTTGCTAAAGCACTGGAAGAGAGGGTTGCTAAAGCACTGGAAGAGAGGGTTGCTAAAGCAGTGGAAGAGAGGGTTGCTAAAGCACTGGAAGAGAGGGTGCTAAAGCAGTGAAGAGAGGGTTGCTAAAGCACTGGAAGAGAGGGTTGCTAAAGCAGTGGAGAGAGGGTTGCTAAAGCACTGGAAGAGAGGGTTGCTAAAGCACTGGAAGAGAGGGTTGCTAAAGCACTGGAAGAGAGGGTTGCTAAAGCACTGGAAGAGAGGGTTGCTAAAGCAGTGGAAGAGAGGGTTGCTAAAGCAGTGGAAGAGAGGGTTGCTAAAGCAGTGGTTGAGAGGAATACTAGAGTAGTGGAAGAGAGGACTGCTAAAGCAGTGGAAGAGAGGGTTGCTAAAGCAGTGGAAGAGAGGGTTGCTAAAGCAGTGGAAGAGAGGGTTGCTAAAGCAGTGGAAGAGAGGGTTGCTAAAGCAGTGGAAGAGAGGGTTGCTAAAGCACTGGAAGAGAGGGGTTGCTAAAGCACTGGAAGAGAGGGTTGCTAAAGCACTGGAAGAGAGGGTTGCTAAAGCACTGGAAGAGAGGGTTGCTAAAGCACTGGAAGAGAGGGTTGCTAAAGCACTGGAAGAGAGGGTTGCTAAAGCAGTGGAAGAGAGGGTTGCTAAAGCACTGGAAGAGAGGGTTGCTAAAGCACTGGAAGAGAGGGTTTGCTAAAGCACTGGAAGAGAGGGTTGCTAAAGCAGTGGAAGAGAGGGTTGCTAAAGCAGTGGAAGAGAGGGTTGCTAAAGCAGTGGAAGAGAGGGTTGCTAAAGCACTGGAAGAGAGGGTTGCTAAAGCACTGGAAGAGGAGGGTTGCTAAAGCAGTGGAAGAGAGGGTTGCTAAAGCACTGGAAGAGAGGGTTGCTAAAGCACTGGAAGAGAGGGTTGCTAAAGCAGTGGAAGAGAGGGTTGCTAAGCACTGGAAGAGAGGGTTGCTAAAGCCATGGAAGAGAGGGTTGCTAAAGCAGTGAAGAGAGGGTTGCTAAAGCACTGGAAAGAGAGGGTTGCTAAAGCAGTGGAAGAGAGGGTTGCTAAAGCAGTGGAAGAGAGGGTTGCTAAAGCACTGGAAGAGAGGGTTGCTAAAGCAGTGGAAGAGAGGGTTGCTAAAGCAGTGGAAGAGAGGGTTGCTAAAGCAGTGGAGAGAGGGTTGCTAAAGCAGTGGAAGAGAGGGTTGCTAAAGCACTGGAAGAGAGGTTGCTAAAGCACTGGAAGAGAGGGTTGCTAAGCAGTGGAAGAGAGGGTTGCTAAAGCACTGAAGAGAGGGTTGCTAAAGCACTGGAAGAGAGGGTTGCTAAAGCAGTGGAAGAGAGGGTTGCTAAAGCAGTGGAAGAGAGGGTTGCTAAAGCAGTGGAAGAGAGGGTTGCTAAAGCAGTGGAAGAGAGGGTTGCTAAAGCACTGGAAGAGAGGGTTGCTAAAGCAGTGGAAGAGAGGGTGCTAAAGCAGTGGAAGAGAGGGTTGCTAAAGCAGTGGAAGAGAGGGTTGCTAAAGCAGTGGAAGAGAGGGTTGCTAAAGCAGTGGAAGAGAGGGTTGCTAAAGCAGTGGAAGAGAGGGTTGCTAAAGCAGTGGAAGAGAGGGTTGCTAAAGCAGTGGAAGAGAGGGTTGCTAAAGCACTGGAAGAGAGGGTTACTAAAGCACTGGAAGAGAGGGTTACTAAAGCACTGGAAGAGAGGGTTACTAAAGCACTGGAAGAGAGGGTTACTAAAGCACTGGAAGAGAGGGTTACTAAAGCACTGGAAGAGAGGGTTACTAAAGCACTGGAAGAGAGGGTTACTAAAGCACTTTAAGAGAGGGTTGCTAAAGCACTGGAAGAGAGGGTTGCTAAAGCACTGGAAGAGAGGGTTACTAAAGCACTGGAAGAGAGGGTTGCTAAAGCACTGGAAGAGGGGGTTGCTAAAGCACTGGAAGAGAGATACTGAAGCAGTGGAAGAGAGATACTGAAGCAGTGGAAGAGAGATACTGAAGCAGTGGAAGAGAGATACTAAAGCAGTGGAAGAGAGATACTAAAGCAGTGGAAGAGAGATACTAAAGCAGTGGAAGAGAGAGATGCTAAGGCAGTGGAAAAGAGGGATACTCACCCTGTAGGGATATCCCCCAGAACTCTGACGTGGTAGTTGTTCTCCAGGTTGATCAAGTAAGACACTGCTGTACCCACCACCACCGCCAGAAGCTCTATGGGTATGGGGAGCTTCGTGTACTTCCTGGCCCGAGGCTGCAACACCAGAGAGTCAGGGATACCGATCAGTATTCCTTGCATTGTCAAGGTTGGATGATTAGTTGGGGTTTAAAGGCTATTAATATTTTAAGTAAAGAAACATTTAATGCGTGGAGGATAGGAGAGTTTAAAATATACTCTCAGTGTATATACACTGAGAAATACACACCTCTCAGTTTAAATACACACCACTGTGTGTGTGTGTGTATATAATAATATATATATATATATATTATAATATATATATTATATATTATATATATTATATATATATATATATATATATATATATATATATATATATATATATATTTTATACTCTGCACCCCTCTCAATTTATATACACTGAGAAGTATATAAACATTTAAAGACACTAATGCCAAAAATATATTCAGAAATATACTGCCAGTGTGTATACGCCGAGATATACACAGGTGTATAAAATATTCGTATTACTAATTAAGAAAATCTTAAATAAAAACTTGAATATTAAAGTCACTTAACAAAATACAAAGTATATACCACAGTGTATACCACAGTGTATGCCACAGTGTATACCTCGGCGCATACCTCGGCGCATACCTCGGCGCATACCTCAGTGTATTCCTCAGTGTATTCCTCAGTGTATACCTCAGTGTATACCTCAGTGTATACCTCAGTGTACACATCATGGGATCTCGATACAAAGAATTCTCCATCTTGTCCAGCCTTTGGACGAAGACCTACTTCGACTAGTGGATGGTACCACTATGACCCCGCCTCCTCCTGCTTCGCCTCACCTCACTACAGTATATAAGCCACGTCTACGGCCCTATGCTGTACATTCTACAAGATTGATGGACTGAACACCGACTCCAGGCTGAGGGACTGATTACCTCAAACTCCTCCTCCTCTCCTTACACCTTTCTGCTTTGTATTGGACTGATGAAGCCACTGTGGCGAAACATTAACTAAATAAAGATTCCCATATGGTTCACAAGTGTCTCAATCTTCAACATATTCATAATATATAAGCATGATAATCTATACTCCAAGAATTGTGTAGGAGATTATCTCCTTAATTATTCAAGTAACATCATTTGCAAGTATTACCACCTTGACAACTTTCTTATTAAAGATCTCAGCTTGTATTTGGGCGGTTTGTATTCGTTTAGTTATAATTCAAAAGTGCTATCGAGAAGCCACCTAATTTTACTGGACTATAATTCACAGTGACCTACTGTCACGAAACCAGAAATAAGTCAGATGCTAGAAGGGAATCAACAAGTTGACCTTCTAGTATTCTCCGAAGGTTTCTTCACTAATAGATGTCGCATTTCATAACACTTTCAACTAGTATAAATTTTGACACATGACCCAGAAGGAAAACACGCACACACACGCTGCTTTCATGGTGTCTGGTTTTAGCAGATATGAGATCCATAATGGTAGTGGAGGTTACCTGGAGGTTACCTGGAGGTTATTCCGGGGATCAACGCCCCCGCGGCCCGGTCCACGACCAGGCCTCCCGATGGATCAGGGCCTGATCAACTAGGCTGTTACTGCTGGCCGCACGCAGTCCGACGTACGAGCCACAGCCCGGCTGATCCGGCACTGACTTTAGGTATCTGTCCAGCTCTCTCTTGAAGACAGCCAGGGGTTTATTGGCAATTCCCCTAATGCTTGATGGGAGGCTGTTAAACAGTTTTGGGCCCCGGACACTTATGGTGTTTTCTCTTAGTGTACCAATGGCGCCCCTACTTTTTATTGGGGGCATTTTGCATCGCCTGCCCAGTCTTTTACTTTCGTAGGGAGTGATTTCTGTGTGCAGATTTGGGACCATTCCTTCCAAGATTTTCCAAGTGTAGATTATGATATATCTCTCCCTCCTGCGTTCCAGCGAGTACAAGTCAAGTGCTTCCAAGCGTTCCCAGTAGTTAAGGTGCTTGACAGCATTTATACGTGCAGTAAAGGATCTCTGTACACTCTCTACATCTGCGATTTCACCTGCTTTGTATGGAGATGTTAATGTACAGCTGTATTCCAGCCTAGAGAGAACAAGTGATTTGAAAAGGATCATCATGGGCTTGGCATCTCTCGTTTTGAAAGTTCTCATTATCCATCCTATCATTTTCTTTGCACGTGCGATCGTGGAACTGTTGTGATCCTTGAAAGTGAGATCCTCAGACATTACTACTCCCAGGTCCCTTACATTATTTTTCCGCTCTATTGTGTAGCCGGAGTCAGTAGTATACTCTGTTCTAGTTATTATCTCCTCCAGTTTTCCATAACGGAGTAGTTGGAATTTGTCCTCATTGAACATCATATTGTTTACCGTTGCCCACTGGAAAACTTTGTTTATATCTTCTTGGAGGTTAACCGCGTCCTCAGCAGATGACAGCCTCATGCAGATCCTAGTATCATCCGTAAAGGATGATACGGTGCTGTGGTGTATATCTCTGTTTATGTCTTATATGAGGATAAGGAATAAGATGGGGGCGAGTACTGTGCCTTGTGGAACAGAGCTCTTCACTATGGCAACCTCCGATTTAACTCTGTTGACCACTACTCTTTGTGTTCGATTTGTTAGGAAGTTAAAGATCCATCTCCCCACCTTCCCAGTTATTCCTTTAGCACGTATTTTATGGGCTATTACGCCATGATCGCATTTGTCAAATGCTTTTGCAAAGTCTGTGTATATTACATCTGCATTCTGATTTTCTTCCAGTGCATCCAAGGCCATGTCATAGTGATCCAGTAGTTGTGAGAGGCAGGAGCGACCTGCCCTGAACCCATGTTGCCCTGGATTGTGCAGATTTTGGGAATCCAGGTAATTTGTAATCCTGCTTCTTAGCACTCTTTCAAAGATTTTTATGATGTGGGACGTCAGAGCTATTGGTCTATAGTTCTTAGCTAATGCTTTGCTGCCACCTTTATGGAGTGGGGCTATATCGTTGTTTTAAGTGACTGTGGAATTTCCCCCATGTCCAAGCTCCTCCTCCATAGTGTACTTAGGGCATGCGAGAGGGGTTTCTTGCAGTTCTTAATGAAAACAGAGTTCCACGAGTCGGGGGCCCGGGGCTGAGTGCATAGGCATGTTGTCAATGGCTTTTTCGAAATCTATCGGAGTTAGGGTAATGTCGGAAATCTGGCATACATTTATAGAGTTTTGAGGCTCATTCATGAAGAAATCATTTGGGTCGTCGATCCTCAGACCGATTAGTGGTTCACTAAACACAGAGTCGTACTGGGATTTCAATATTTCACTCATTTCCTTGTTGTCGTCTGTGTAAGTCCCATCCTGTCTGAGTAAGGGCCCGATACTAGATGTGGTATTTGCCTTGTTTTTGGCATATGAAAAGAAATATTTTGAATTTCTTTCAATTTTACTAATAGCTTTAAGCTCCTCCTGCCTCTCCTGGTTCCTGTAAGAGTCATTTAGCTTAAGTTCGATAGTTTCCACTTTCCCTGGTCAGCGCCTCCTTTCGTGTATCGATATTCTAGCACTCCTGAGGAGCTCAGTGACTCTTCGTCGTCTTCTGTAGAGGGAGCGTCTTTTTCTCTCCAGTTTACTCCTGCTCTTCTTCTTTCTTAGGGGAATATGTCTAGAACATGCTTAGGCTACCAGGAAGTTGATCCTTTTAAGGCACTGGTTTGGATCCATGTCATTTAAGACATCTTCCCAACATGTTTCGTTTAGGACATGGTTTACCTGGTCCCAGTTGATGTTCTTGTTGTTGAAATTGTATTTTGTGAAGACACCTTCACAGCTACATGCATTCTGCTGTTCAGGACCCCTATGCATGTACGTCTGGACTTCGATTAGATTGTGATCGGAATTAGTTGTTTTTGATATTCTTATCTCTTATCAGGTCCTCAGGTGACGTTTTGGCAGCACTTTGAGATTTAACCTTAATTTTTAAAGGGGTGGACTGGTAAGCCAGTGGAAGGTTTCGGTCAAATAACCAAAAGCTCCAGTTGCGGGTCATCATATGACTAAGCGTCAGGAAACACTTGTCCTGTTTCCTTATCAATTTTACCTAACCTAACCTATTGTGACAGCGTCACAGTTACGTTAGTCCTCACAGATTAGATGTACAGACGAGACTGAATTTCTTCATTGTGTGTCTTTGTCTAGCTAAGCTGTGTTAATTATGTTTTCCGTCTTTCTCCTGCAGTCAGTGATAAAGTGGGCAGAGTAATGGATCTTGGAGGACGTGTATACCTGGAGTATACCTGGAGAGAGTTCCGGGGGTCAACGCCCCCGCGGCCTGGTTGTGTATATAAATGAATTCTTATTCTAAAATAATGTGATTTGAAGATTCATAAAGACCTTCAAAAGAAACCAGCTATGACACTCCTCTTAGTACGTGTGTTGTGGCGCGAGGGTGTAAATGCAAAAGGTAATCTTTATTGACCTGTTTTCTGTAGACCTTGAACTTCAGCTTGTTGTCATTCTTAGAGAGCATTAAGTCTAGAAAACTTAGGCGGCCATTATTTACTTGTTCCATGATGAGCTTTTGTTGTTTAGTTCTGTTGTGCTGACGCTTCTGGGATTTATGGTCAAAATTTCGTCAATGTGTAACTAGGTAAGACACAAAGGCAACAGTTAGGCAACTTTATTCCGAAACGTTTCGCCTACACAGTAGGTTTCTTCAGTCGAATACAGAAAGTAGGCAGGAACAGTAGAGATGTGAAGACGATGTAATCAGTCCATCACCCTTGAAGTCGTAGAATTTGAGGTTGTCAGTCCCTCAGCCTGGAGAGTTCAGTTCCATAGTCAGGAACTATCTGAAGATCAAGCGACAGTGCGGAGACTTAAATACTGTCGGAAGGAGAGGTTCCTGCCTACTTTCTGTATTCGACTGAAGAAGCCTACTGTGTAGGCGAAACGTTTCGGAATAAAGTTGCCTAACTGTTGCCTTTGTGTCTTACCTACCAACCTGTCGGTATTTTATACCATTTTGATGTTCATCCAATGTGTAACTACCTGGTTAATGTGATACTGCCTGGTATAT